CTTTTCCAGGACAGAGTTGATGGACAATTTCAAGATGAGTGCAACAGACAGACTGATATCCAACTGATACCAAGCGATTCCCTGCAGTTGAGTTCCCACCGAAAGAGCGCTTTAGGCCCCTTCAGCAGGTTGAACCAGGCGAAAAGATATCATTATGGAGAGATATGTTGTCACAACGCCTAGCATCTGTTATGGAAATCAAAAAGAAAATATTTTAGAAAAAAAACGAAAGAAAATATACATAGTCTATAATTTTGAATTTCTCTTTTATAAAACTGCGAACAATGCTTATCACTGTTATAAATGTCACCCCGTGTTGCCAACAAGACTTCAACACCATTTTTATCATCACGTTTTCATCGCGTTATCATAGTGTTATCACCTGGAGAATGAAGTTGGGGTCCACGGAGAAGAACCCCGCCACCGAGAAAGCTGGCACCGTGTGGAGGAGCTGGGATGAGAAAAAGACCAGCTGCTGACGGAGGCGAGGCGGCAGGCGGCTCAGGGGGAAGCCGTGGACCACTCTCCACGTCTTGTCCCGCTGGCAGGAGACGGGACGTGACAGGTGTGTGTGCAGATGTGAACTTTATGTGCACGTATATGGATGGAGAGATGTTCATCTAGGTATATATATATATATATATATATATATATATATATATATATATATATATATATATATATATGTATATATATATATATATTTATTTATTTATATATTTATATACATATATACAAACACACACACACACACATACACACACAAACACACACACACACACACATGTATGTGTACATACATACATATATATATATATATATATATATATATATATATATATATATATATATATATATATTTATATATTTATATATTTATATATTTATATATTTATATATTTATATATTTATATATTTATATATTTATATATTTATATATTTATATACATACATACATACATACATACACACATACATGTATATATATATATATATATATATATATATATATATATATATATATATATATATATATATATATATATAATATATATATATTATATATATTATATATATTATATATGTGTATATCTGTGTGTGTATATATGTATATATATATATATATATATATATATATATATATATATATATATATATATATATATAAAATCATATGTACACAAACATATATGAATTCACATACACATATACATATATTTATCATATATATTTATATTATATGTATACATTATACATATATACATATGTGTATATTTGATATAAATGAAGATTTTTCTCTAATGACTACGAAAGAGAAGTATGAAATGAGAGGGTTTGGAAGAAATAACCAAACTTTCTTTGTTTCCTTCTCTCTCGTGCCATATGAGCACCGCTCTCCCATACCTCGGTCTTCAGCAAGTAGAAGGCGACTGCCAGGACAGTCGAGTGAAGAACGAGCAGGACGGAGTAGATGGCGTGAATGGTGGCTTCATTGCCGTTCTCCATGCTCTTGTAGAGCTCGAAGAAGCTGGCGCAAGTGAGCATGAAGTACGTCGGGATGACGTACATGAGGTGCGGCGTGAAGCTCCTCGCCAGCCGCGAAGTGAGGCGTGCGAGGGCAAGGTGCACGTGGCGGAGCTCCTCCAAGACGAAGCAGCTGGTCGGGCACTCCGAAGCGGCCTCGAGGGGGCGCTCGAGCTGTTCGCCGGCTCGCTCTCCCTCGCCGTAGAACTTTTCCCTCGGGTTCTCACGGGCGGAAGACATGCTCTTGGTCTCGCTCCCTTGGTCCTCCGACGCCACTCTACGAGAAGCCGAGGCCATGCAGGACTCGAGGTCGCGGTGAAGTTGCTGGTACTTCAGGCGGAGGACGAGGCAGAATGCAGAGGCCTGTGTGTAGAGTGGGGTGGTAAAGGTTCATTTTGTTTCCCTTTTCATATATGAATAACGGATATATGATAACAAGTGATATCATAAATGCTGTAAGATAAAACCACACTCAAAATAATCCATGAAATTATGCATGTATGTATTTATCACATGTGCTCCATACACGTACATTTCAAAAGTTCCTGTTGATAAGTTTAAATAGTGTAGGTTATTAAATCCATGCAGCAGTTAACACCTACAAAGGGCAACCTCATACCTGGAACATCGGGAAGAGGAATGAACTCTGAATGCGAATATTGTTATAGAGTGCAAAGCCTCTGGCCGGTTGCTGCCTCGGTACAATAGGCACTACATGAATCACAGCCACTACGAGGACAAAGATCCAGTAGGCCAAAATGAACCATGAACCGCGAGTCACACTGTGTGAGGGTAGACGTGAATCCAACTGGAAAATCAGAGGTACCAAAGATGACTTAGCTATTTAGTATCTTGTCGAGGGTTTGTTGTTATTACACTGCTCATCTTGTATATGCTTTTCTGTAAAAATACATGAAATATCCAGTTGCAAGGAAATTATGTAATTATGTATACGGTACACGCTAATAAATGTACA